CCATCTATCTTCACTCCCATTCCTTCCCATTCCAGTCATCGCATGATGTTCTCGAGGGTGGCACTGAAGAGTTTCGGTGAACTGGTATCACCCTGCCGAACCCCTCTCCATCAACGACATCAACGATCACTTCTTTGTAGAATGGTGAGATCCTGGTAGTGAATCCGCAATACAGCTCACGGAGGATCCTGATGTATTGGGCTTGAATGCCCTGATTGGCTAGGGCTTCAATGACCGCTTCTGTCTCAACAGAATCAAAGGCCTTCTTTAAATCACTGAACGTTAAACAGAGCGGCATCTTGAACTCCCGAGAAACCTCAATGAGTTTGGTTATTGTGTGGATATGGTCGATGGTGCTGAATCCTTTGCGGAGCCCGGCTTGCTCGCATGGTTGTCCTTCAACTAGTGTTCTGCCAATCCTATTTAGGATGACTCGAGTGAACAACTTGTAGATGACAGACAATAGGCAGATTGGGCGATACTTGCCAATGTCATGGATGTCTCCCTTCTTGAACAGTAGTACGGTCCTGCTGGTTTTCCATTGGGACGGAACCTTGCATTCAGATGAGTACTGACGGCAGGTTCTTCAGGTGTTCAGATCTGACCTTGTCTGGGCCGGGTGCTGTTTGTTTCTTTACCCACGAAATGGCGTGTCGGATTTCGGAAGGGAGAACGTTGGGAACGACATATCCATCATGTGGAATTTGGTATGTCGGCAAATGGACATGGCTATCGAAGAGATTTGAGTAGAAGTCATGGATAATCTTCTCCATTGCCGTTCTGGAGGATGTGATGGATCCATCAGGATGTCGGAGGGCAGTCACCTTGGTCTTATAGTTGGCGAAGGACAGGCGGGCGTTACGAATACTTTTCCCAGATTCTGCCGCATCTACCAGTACTTCTGCTCTTCTCTCTTTGAGGTCTTCCTTGATCGCATCTCTGCACTGCTTTGCGAGCTCGGACGTTAGCTTGCAGTTGCCTGAGGCATGCGCCAAACAACGCTGGCGAATTAGCTCAAGAGTTTTCGAAGATAGGCGATTTTTTGTGGCTATCTCTGTCTTGGTGTTCTTCGCACATTCATGGAGGTGCTGAACCAGTCGATCATATTCCTCGTCAATGTTGTCAACAATGGCATCTTCCCATGTTGCCGCAATAGTGCCAAAGAGTTCGCAGTTGGTGGTCGTTCTGGGAGTTCTCTTTTTGAACTTTGCAGCCCTTTCTCCCCGCTCTGTGAACTAGAATTTTGCACGAAGGAGACGGTGGTCCGATCCCGTTCGAAATTTTGTGACAACAGCAACATCGGTCAGGCAAACCCGTCGGTTGAATATGATGTGGTCTATTTCATTGTGGAATTGTCCACCGGGAGACTCCCATGTCCAACGTTTAGATTCTGCCTTCTGGAACTGTGAGTTACCATGGATGGTCTTGGTCGACATGATGAACTCAGAGAGTATCTCACCCTGTTCGTTCCATTCTAGGCCATGGGTCCCGATGTGAAGTTCTTCAGCTGATCTTCTCGGTCCTATCTTGGCATTAAAATCACCCACAATGATCTTGTAGAAGGTGTGGTCTTCTTTATAGAACTTCTCCAGCTCCGTGTAGAACTTCTCGATTTCTCTTTCATCATAATGAGATGTTGGTGCGTAGACAACGAAGATAGAAACTGCAGGCAGTGAGCCACATCTATTCAAATGTAAATGTCCGATTCGGGTAGTTAGGCATTCGAATGAATCAATGCTCTTGGCCAAGTTTGTGTTGACAAGGACACCGACGCCTCCAACACCTCTTTTATCGCATGTTCCGAGGAACAATTCTTCTCCAGTGTCGAAAACGGCATGGTGAGATTCGTGCCTTCTTGTCTCGGTCAGACCAATGATGTCATACTTAATCATTCGCGCTTGTACCATCAGGTCCTCGATGGATGCATCTGATGCTAGCGTTCGTGCATTGAAAGTACAGATGATCATTTTTGTCTTCCTTCGTTGTGGCAGCCTACGTCGGCCTTGAGATTTTGTCGGCCTCTCCTTTCTCATCCTTCTCAGTGCTGCCATGTTGGTGAAGCCTTCAGGGTCAGGTGAATGAGACGAGTTGTAGTTACTGGGATACACAAGGGATAGCTTGCCAGGCTCTTCCGTGCAGGCAAATACTCTTGGTAACTTGCCAGTCTTTCCGAGAGGGATAGAGGCTTTTGGGGCGACCTCTAATCACCCTTGCAGGTGTTACCATATTTGAACCCTATCAAATATGGTATGACAAATCCTGAAGATGGGTATTTAGTGTCTTATGATGTGTCAGTCGAAGCGGCCACGCGGGTCCGGAAAGCGTCCTGAAGTGTGGCGACGGCTGGGTAGTGGAGGTAGTGTCGATAGTGGAAGTCTGCCAGTGGGGTATTTATCTGGGTAGGGTGGGTCTTCTGTGCACAATCTGATCCCTGGGTGGTTGATGGAAGCAGACAGGGCAGGGTAGGGTGGGGCTCCTGATTAGAATCCCTTTGTCACCTGTGGTTGGTGGGAGCAAGCAGAGAAACTCTGTCCCTGGGTCCGCTGAGCTGGATTCCAAGGTCTCAGAGAGTTCCGCTTATCTTGTTCTGTGGGTCTTCAGTCGTGCGTGAGTCTCGGCCGGAGCTGCCACGCGGGTCCGGAAAGCGTCCTGTGGTTGGTGGGAGCAAGCAGAGAAACTCTGTCCCTGGGATATGAGATAGCTTGCAACTTCATAAATTGAACTAATTTGTATATTTTTTTTATCCCGAGGAGTTTTGTGTTTATCGCATGTGTTTATCACAATCCATCCATGATTGGACTTAATGATTATTTTGACATCTGATTTACCTCTTGGAAGAAAATAACATAGGCTCAGGTTCTATTTCCAATTGTGTCAGAATCTCCTTGAAATTTGTGTGCACAGGGACAAATCGGGGACTTTGGAAGAGAGACATACTCTATGTAGAAAATGTCTTCCTTTGATTGTCCTGTTCTCAGATCCAAGAATCCTATAGGTAGCTTGATGCTATTGCTTGGCACCGTGGTGCAGAATCCCAAATACATGGAATAGTTAAAACCCAGCTCCCATTAATGATTTCATTGCTTCAACTCCATTGGTAATGTCAATCCTTCAGAGGTGCTTTCTGTTCTTACCAGAACAGTCGCAAGCTGGAGGGTGCGTCACCTTCGCAATCAGCACCCCTTTTAGCTGCTAATATGGAACACATGGTGGTTGAAGAGGTTACAGTGTTACAGAAATGTCATTACAGAATTTCTCTATGTTCATGTGTATCATCTGTCACGTAATTGTTTGTTTTACAGCCCATACCTATAATGGGCTAAGTGGGGACTATTTATATCAGTTAACAATGAGTGCCTTTAATTAGCATTTCATACAACTGGAACATGTTAAGAACGCTGACACAAATCTGGCTGGGTTGGGAGATTCCATGTGAATTTCATTATGGAATTGCTCAGATGTTACAGTTGCACAGGTACGAGGTTTCCTTAGCTGCCATAAATGCTATGTAAGTTCAACATGTTTGAAAATTACAAAGTATCACATTGGGTTTCACCAACCTCATGATCATGTGGAACTTGTTCACTTTGTACCCAGACGCCCAATGTTTCATGATAGCTTATCATGGGACCTGTACAGGCAGGCAGAGCTGGTAAAAACCTCTGGGGAAAATGCCGGAAAAAGAAACAATGGGCAAAGCCTTTGTGGTACAAGTGCTTAATGCTAAGTGAGAGGTTGGCAGTTGGATAAAGTATTTTTGTTAACTGGTGAAAATGGTTTCCTTTTCCCCATTCTCAGTTTTAGACACTTTTATTGATTCAAAGAGGCCCCATCAATGTCTTAGATGTTCGAAGGCGAAACTGGGCTTAGTAGATAATGGAGACACAGTTATGTGTCTAGACCTATAAGAAAGGGTCTTCAATTAACCATATTGAAGAAGATAGCCATGTCAGCGTACGGGCCTTTAAATTCCTTTGTAACAGAATCCCCACCTACGACTACAATAGAAGCTGGCAGGCACTTCTAAACAAACTCTGAACAACTCCATGTGATGTGCCCGTTCTCACTTTTAGAATTGTGTAAGGTATGCATAGTATATTCAATCTGTCATCTGGGTTTACAGAATCAGACAACATTTTCACATGTTGATCTCAACTTCAGAAAGAATGTTAATTGTTTTGTCAGACTACAATGAATTTTTAAACAGTGAAGTTTTATCATTTGGGGGGGTGATTTATTACTTAGTGAAAAAACAATCGCCCCATTTTTTGACAGTGTCAGTGTTCCAGTAGTTACAGAAGTTAACAAACTTATTGTCTTTTCTGTGAAATCTTTAAAGTACTGCTTAGTGGCACTTTATGGAAGTTTTCTAATGGGTGTACCTAGCTCTCAGAGGCTTCTTGGAAAAGCCTATGTGTCTTTGCATGGTAAATATACACAGATCACCAGATATCTCTTTCTATGACAGAATTCTGGAGTCTGAAACACTGGAAAGTTACTGGCAGGTCTCTGCTTCATGTTACAGATGTCATCCTGAAGTGCTTAGATTAGGATGATAGTTCGTAGTGAATGTGCGTCACTCCTGCCTATCAACACACATCAGGGCACCTTAGTCATCAGTATCCTCTTCAGTTTCTTTTCTTCTATGCAGGAAGGGGGAAAACACACAGACTACGTGTTTATACCATGTCTTTTGTCCTGTTTCTGGGTGAATTTGGTGTAGACTTTTCTCAACCCCAGAGAAAACCATTAACTTCTCTATTTGTATCAAGAGCCAGATGTTTGTGTGTGATTCTATATACTTCCTTGTTTACTGAACTGATGTCATTTTCATGCACAGACATAGCTGATCTTTAAATTTATACCACTCATTCATTGCAAAATCTTTAGGATTTTAATTATATATCATATAAACAACAGAATTTTGTTGTGAGTTTTAAATATAATGAACAACATTTTTGCTTGCTTTAGGGTCACACCTGGAAGTACTCAGTATTTGCTCCTGATTCTGTACTCAGGGATCACTTCCGGTTGGCTCAGGGGACTTCATGGGTACATGGGAATGAAATCCAGTCGGCTATATGCAAGGCAAGTGCTCTACCCACTCTACTATCTCTCTAGCCCCATGACTTTCTTTTCCTTCTAAAAGTATTTTCCTAATTACACTTGCTATTACATTTAAATAATGGTTACCATCTTTCAACATTCTGAATTTTGTATGGTTTTACTTTAGTATATTTTTATAAGTAGAATATCAAATAACTGATACTTCTCATTTCAATAAAAATCAAATACAAATATAACCTTTATTTTGTTTTTTGTACTTTAAAATGAATACCTTAAAATAAATACTTTATTTCTTTTTATTGAGTCACTTCAAGAGGTGAATCCATTTGAAATAGGAGTGGTTTGGGTCACAAAGTGGCTTGTGCTTACTTCTGGCTCTGTGCTCAGGGATCACTTATGGCAGTGCTCAGAGGAACAGGTTCAATGTTAAGACTTAAACTAGAGTTGGCTGCCTGCAAGTTATGCTTCTTAACTCCTGTGCTCTCTGTCTCAGACTCTGTTTCTGTGTCTCTTCTCTTCTCTTCTCTTCTCTTCTCTTCTCTTCTCTTCTCTTCTCTTCTCTTTTCCTCTCTTCTCCCCTCCCCTCCCCTCCCCTCCCCTCCCCTCCCCTCCCCTCCCCTCTCCTCTCCTCTCCTCTCCTCTCCTCTCCTCTCCTCTCCTCTCCTCTCCTCTCCTCTCCTCTCTCCTCTCCTCTTCTCCCCTTCTCTCTTCTCCCCTCCTCTCTTCTCCCCTCCCCTCCCCTCCCCCCTCCTCTTCTCTCCTCTCCTCTCTCTCTCTCTCTGTCTCTCTCACCCCCTCCCTCCCTCCCTCCCTCCAATCTCCCCATCTGGGTCTATAAGTAAAAATTTTTAATTCCATTAAAGGAATATATTTGATCTTCCTGCCTCCAAGTTGATATGCATAATATAAAACAAAACAAAAATAAAGATTCCCAAGGTCTGTACTGATTTTTTTTTGGTTGCTCTGAGATTATTTTGAAACCCCTAATACTTATGTGGGTCCCTCCAGAGTTGATATATCTTCGATTAAAACAGAGTCTGAGGTTGCAGCCTACACAGGATGTTCCCTGAGTTTTATTGGGCTTCTGGAGACATCAAAATAAATGCCACCGTCCAGCTTGCTGACTGATGGCATGCAAAAATAAACTGGAGAAGGAAAAGGAACAGATAGTAACACTGAGCTCACAGTTCCTGTGCCAGTTCCAGTGAGAAAAAGTCCTGACTTGACAATTCCACAATGGAGAGGAGAGAACTGAAGATATGGGGGACACCCAGGGATAAGAATTCTAAACATAAGAGCTTCTGGAAAACATAAAGGGATATATAACATAAAGTGAGGATTGAATGTCTCAGGATGGTGAGTAAGGCAATCTAGAATTCCTTCTGCTACTATACCAACATTAACTGCCTAATTGAGTTCATCATACTAAGCTAGAATCTTTGCTATAGGAGTACCACACACAATGGGAAAGTCATCAGGATCTTTTCGTAGAAAATAAGCAAATTATGGTGCTGGTACCATGGAAAATTTGAGTTTAACTCTACCACTGCATTTCCCAAAGGGGGGAAATTGGATGGCACTTTCTGTTTGTTTTCTTAAAGAAAATTGATTTCCAGGTGACGATCAAGTGATTTTTTTTCTTTCTGAAAAGAGGGCAGTAAGCCAAATAAGTTGGAACCTTTGTCTATCACTAAATCCTGAAAGAACTAAGTCCTAACCAAATAGAATATCCGAGGCAAATGATGATCAAGACAGATAAGGATGTCTGGAAATAATTCAACTTCTTCATAGCATATTGATATAGAAGATCTACTAATATATAATCTGTGTTATAGAGTTTCAATATTTAAATTACGAATTCACTAAGAGTTGACTAATACACAACTTTGTTTTTCATTTAATTAAAAAAGATATTAGGTTTTGATAATACCTTCAGTCTATTATTGAATAAAATATTGAATCAATTGAGCATTAAATACTATGGAGCTAAACAACAATAATTTACCTCTTGTGCTTGCATTTGTAAACATGAATTCACTTCAACTAGATCAAATTGGAAGGAAGACAATGTAGTAGATACCAATAAAATCTTTTGCCAATGACACTAGAAAAATTAAAGAAAAAAGAAAACTTCAAAAGTAGTCACTAGAAACACAGTAGCTTGTAAACTAAACATGCTTAAAGCAGCAGAAAACTATGACAACCAACGTATTATATGAAGTTCTATGATTAAATCTCACTGTGTGGATTTAATTATAATTGCAGATGGAGGAACAAGTACATTGGCAGACAGACTTGCCAAGCTCAATTTTCAAAACGGAATAACAAAAGCTCGGACCACACCATGAAAAGAATCTTTCTTTGATAGCATACTGCCCCAGGAGAATAGTTATTGAAAGGTGAAAAGGGGCTATAAATGACCAGAATATGATTGGATATGACTAAATGGTTCCTTGTATAGTTGAGAAATGCAAGGTAAATCTTTAAAATGCCAGGTAGAGCAATATCAATAAGTCAGTAGCCAGCAGCCTTAGTCTTCCATATTCTGTTAGAGAACAGAACTCACCTCTCTCTCTATCCCTTTGCTGAAATAATTTATGGCACCCAAATATAATTAGAAACTAGTTTGCTTTAAAACACACACGCATTTTCTTTTGCATATGGCCACCATTTTTTTTTTACTAAGCAGTAATGAAATGCTAATTTTAGGCCATTTACGATCATCAATCATAAAATAAATGTTCAAAAATAAATTGTTAAAATAACAGTCCACCTCCAAGGTAGAAAAATAACACACCTCCAAAACTGCCAAGTGGAATCCAGCATGAGGCCAAGCAGAGGATGACTGAGGGTGGAGCAGAGTGAAGGCCGTTATGTGTGTTCCTGTGTTGATAAATGCCTTCCTGGAGAGTGTGCCCTTTTAGGACTGGTAAAGCCATGGACCAGCTTGTTTCCACAAAGTTTCTGCTATTCATTTCAAATGTAAGAATGCTGAACAAGTTAAATAAGATGTTTATTCAGCACTACTAAGAAGTCATTTCAACCTGATAGAGAAACTAATTTATATTATATGTTGGCCTATAATTATGCAAAGATGAAATCATATCATTTAACACTGCTGGGGTGGAATTGGAGGGTATCATTCTAAGTGGTCAGACAAAGGAGAGGGACAGAGACAGAAAGATCTCTATCAAGTGTGGGATAGAAAGAAACACACTATAGAAATAACAAAAGACCAAAGGGAACAGAACCTGAAAATTGATCTACAGGACTGAAATTATCATTGCAGGAAGTAGGGGAAGGGATTGCAGAAGGGATCCTGTGAAAGCAGACATTAGTTGAAGGTGTGGTGTTGGAACATCTTATGCATGGAACTCTACTATTCATAGTATTATAAATCATAGTGACTAAAGCATATTTATAAAAACAAAAATAAATATTCTGTTATGTATTGAATTAAGGGTCCAATAGACCCCAGTTAGTGGGTATTTTTTTCAGTTTTTATATACTTTATTTTCATAAAGTAGTTCACAATAATTCATTACAGATAATATTCAAAGAACAATCCCACTACCAAGCACCTTCCCACCACAATCAGAGGGAAGTGTTTGAAGGTTGTTGTATTTCATTCTGGAGCCATTTAAGCCCGTATATAAGAGAATACAAGCAAGTATGTTAAAACCAAACAAATGTGTGCTAGTTTTGGCATGTAAGTGGGCTAGAGCTCCAGGAAATTCTGTGTTGCTCTCTTCCAGGAGCTTTAGTTTATAGTCTCTAGATCTTGGCCGTTGATGAGATTACATGGCTCAGGGGGCAGTTTGTGGGTGTGACTACCAAGCTACTGGAAAACTGGGTTGCTTGTGGGGAGGAGGCCTGGAGATCTTTGCATAGTATATTCAGAGCAATGGATAGAGCAGGCTTGGAGATCTCAGTCACAGATTCCCTCATACCTGGGTTTTTCTGACGGTTCTCTCCTGGGTGAAGCTTGTCCAAGTGTGTGGAGAGTGGCCTTGACCATGGCGGCAGTTGGGTTTTTAAGGGTTTTGGCTGCAGGGGTGCTACTTGGGGTGGGGAGGGAAACTCAATCCGCCCCTCTCTGAGGTGCCCCAGTGAAGACAGCCTGGTGTGGGGTCAGGACATGTGAGTTAACGAGTATTTAATCTTTGTACCATATATTGAATTATCACTGTATCACTGTCATCCTGTTGTTTGTCAATTTCCTCGAGCAGGTACCAGTAACGTCTCCTTCATCCTAGTCCTGAGATTTTAGAAAGTGCCACATACAAGGCTCTTTCAGGGTCAGGAGATTGAGACCCATCATTATTACTGGTTTGTGGCATATTGAATACTTCACAGGGAGTTTGCCGGACTCTGCCATGAGGGCAGGATACTTTCGGTAGCCTGCCAGGTTCTCTATATTAAATTAAGTATTTCACATGTTAAGCTACTTAATTTCTCTTAGGAATCATAAAAAGTAGATGTTATTATCTATTTAATTTTTATGAAAAAATGTGAATCTCTTTTTTCATTTTGGGGTAGTTACACCATCAATTAAAATATGAGTTCTTTTTGGAAAAACTCAGGCTAAATTTATTCTAAAGATCTTTTAACGGCAATGGATAGAGAACATATTATTGAATTGCACATTCCATGAGAAGCATGTCAGATAGCATATAATCCAAAGAGAGCATACCTTGTAGGATAACACTGTTTTGTCCTTCCTGCATAGCCTCAGATAGTTTAGGTTTATTAGGTTGCTCCCATCACAGTGCTCCCATTCCTCTGTGTTTATTTGTAACCTCTTTCTTTGTGCTCTGTTGACTTATAAATATTGGTTTTCTCTTCTCTTCAGTCCAATAACTATCAACATATCAATGGCTAGCTATTTTTGTATGGACACAGTAAGAGATAACATTGAGACTTGTAGGGCAGCTCTCCTAGGAACATCTTGCCACAGACTCAGACTACAGTGCTCAGGCCAGATTAATAATTCCAAACCCTAGCAGGGTCCAAATCTAGTTATTA